TTACGGTTGCCATGTTCGTAATAGCTTTTACTATAAAACAATTTAAATTTTTAATCAAAGCAACCATTTTTTATAAACTTCTTTCAATAACATGGTTTAGAAACATTTTTGTGACGTCGGCATTGTACTTTGTCTCTCTCCCTCTCTCTGTCTTAGCAGCATTTGTGGCGTTGCTACGCACACATGCAAGGGTATTGATCACTGATCAATATATGTATACATTTCTAACAGTCTTTTTATGCTGAAATTTGTTGTCATTATTTCGCGATTTTTTTTTATCACGTCGTAATAACTGACTCAAAAATATGAAAAAAATCGTCGGCATAAGCGGATTGTCGTTAAAAGCAGAGACGTACTAAGCGGAGACTCTTTCATATAAGTTTGTATGGGGACCAACCAAGACATCGAATTTTCGTCGATATAACCGGTTGGACGCTTTAAGCGGAGTCGTTATAACCGGATTCTACTGTATATAGTTTTAATTATAATAATATAATAATATAATAATATAATTAATATAATTATATTAATAAAAAAATTATTTTCGTTACAACTTATTGATAATTTCATTCGAATATAAGGCAGAAATGATTAAATTATGACTCGTGGAAGACTCTTTTATGATTAAAACAAGTAAGAACTTTGCAGTCGGGCGTTACGTATATATACGTTACGTATATATACAAAATTTGAGGTCTCTGCCATCAATAGTGTCCAAAATATAGGAGAATTTAAAAAATCACTATATCTTCAGGTCCGATTTGCCACGCCCCCAATGGGCGTAGACTTGTAATTTATCTTCAGACTTTATAGAATCATACCATTAGCTGACGTGCAAAATTTCAGCATTCTAGGTTTACAACTTTAGGAGATACAGTTTTATCCGATTTGCCACGCCCCCAATGAGCGTAGATATATCCGCCATAGCTCGTGATCTTGGGTGGTCAACGCGGACCTACATACCAAATTTCAGCTTTCTAGCTCTTCAACAAACATGATTTCTGGTATATCGGAAAATGCATTTTCCGATTTGCCACGCCCCTAGTGGGCGGATCGGGAAAATTTTAACACTTTATAAATCGGAGATATACACGAGTATGTGTTCCAAATTTCTCTAGCTTCAATAGCGCCGAAATAGATTGCGTTCATACGGACAAACGGACAGACAGCAAGACGGACATTGCACAAAACCAATATACTGATTCACTTTCGTGAATGAGTATAAAAATAATAATAATAATAATAAGAAAACACAAAATTGGTGACTATGTTTTGTTAATGAGTAAACCACTTGTAGTTACTGAACTGCTAGAAGGTGACCGTTCAGTGGCGTACCTAGAACTTTAAGCACCCGTGGCAAAAATGAACGACTTCTGTTAAATATTTCTTCATTGGGACAAAGCTGTCATTATCGACAGCTTTGCAAATATTACTAACTATACCTATTTCAGTTGCTTCCTGTGAAAGATCATTCCAACCAAAGTAGATTAAGAAATTATTCAATCAAAAATGAAACTGCTTCGTAATCCTACGAGGATATAATATGCAACTTTGCAGCGATAAGAAATATTAACTTTAAGTTGTTAATTTCAATCGCAAAATAAGAAGAAATAAATTTCAGTTTACATTTTGAATTTTAGCTTATATTAAATTTTGTTTGCTTTAAGAAAAAAAAAATAGGGCTAAGCATATTTTTCGAGTGTCTTTTTTTAAACTCACGGAACAGCAAAGATCATTTTGCCGCCCCCCAAATCATTGCGCCCGGGGCAACCGCCCCCTCCCTAGTTACGCCACTGTGATCATTACATGTTAAAATCATTAATAATAAAGACAAGCGAATCGAAACAGAAATGTTTAACGACATTGACCCCGGTGAAAAAGATGCTGGTCAAGAGGTTACCTCTGCAACCCAGAAAGTGTGGAGGACATCATGAACAGAGAGATTTATTTTGATAATATCGATAAGAACAAATGTAACTGTTTAAATGATGCGAATATTTTATATTTCGTTTAAAAATGAGATATGATTCCAATCAGAGTGTTTAACTTTATACACAAGGACGTGTAATCGTCAGGAAGGCAGTGTCATGAGAATTTAACATAACAGTAGCATGGTGTGCGATTAACATGAATGTCAGATCTTGATGACGTAGCAATGTATTGGTGCGCTGCCGTGTTAGTCAGTCTGACCACTAACCAAAATGTCTCACACAACGTTGCGATGCTTTTTTGCGATAAATATCGCTTGCTGAGATAAAAATCTATCATGGCGCAAAATAATTTAGAGCCATCTCCGACATATGTGTACACATACATATATGTATATGTATGTACGTATATGTATGTACATCTCTTTTCATTTCTGCAAAAATTGAAACTGAGTTGAATTTCGCCACTAACCAGAGAACACATATACTAGACATCTAGAACAAATTTTTTCAACGACGAAAAATACCAGACAACTTGGTATTTGATCGGCTCGGTCTTTTGAGGCTCAAGAAGAGAAATTAAGTCACGACAAAATCAGTCCGCTGTGACCGCTGCCACGAAATGCTCGTCTCCGCTCTTTTTCCCTTACTCACTCTCTCCCTCTCTTTATGCTCACTCTCTATGGTCTCTCAAATAGCAGCCGCACACAAAAATTGCAAATTGTTCGCGACGATCCCAACTCTTTCCTTTTGAGTGAAGGGTATGCCGAAATCTTAAAAGCGTTTGTCAACTTTATTAATTTAATTCTGATAATATCTCATCTATGACCACCAACTCGTCATTTTCACCATTGTCGCTTTTATAATTTGCCTTTTTAAGCTAGTTGGGTGGAACGCTATACTCATAGCAACACTTGCCATGTCGGCGTAATCCATATGTTTTGTGGACATACAATCTTAATGAAACTTTCAAAACGTGATCATATGGCTAAAATGTGTGTACATTCCAAAGCACAAGTCTCTAGTACTTGAAATGCGTTTTTTACAAAATGGTGGCGTCAATGGGTTTAGGGTATAAAAACTGATAAGAAATGAATTTTGCATAACATATTAGAAATCTTACCTATTCTTCAGTTGTAGTATTAATTCTACACAAAGCTCAGTACATTTAAATCATTTACATTTAAAAAGTATCAAAGCCAATTTTGTTATAAGCTCGCTTGCATTTTAGCTAAATTTAATTTTTGAAAATAGCCAGATTTGTAGCTAATAGCTGTTTGAAAATTTTTGTAGTATTCGACCTTAAAAAGTAGCCAGATCTAGCTACAAAATAGCTGATTCGGCAACACTGCTAGTCTATGTGTTCTCTGGTTAGTGATTTCGCCTTGACTATCGATTGTGTATGTCAATATATTTACATATAACAAAACTGCTCGGCTTCGAGATTTCCTGCACAATTGAGTGATAGTAGGTTATGCAAAGCGAACAGCTGATTTGACAGCGTGACGTCATTAATTCAGAAAATGCTGGGCGCGCGTTTGACTTTGTATGAAAATCAAGCAATTTTGACACTGTTATTTGTTTTAAAACTAGTAGACTAAATAAAACGAACTGGGCGGCTAATCACATGTTCTATATAGATTCACGAATCGGAAAATATAAAGGTTTTTGCTCATTTTTATACTCTAAGTCGTTTTCTAAGTAGTTGCTGATCATGTAATCTCTTGACCACTTTTACTTTTGCATATAATAGATTTAACCTTACTATCTAAGGCTTGAATTTGTAAAACTAAAGAGTTACTACCAACTATTATGCATTTCCCATCAATCCGCATTAATTTCCGTACTAATTTCATTCTTTATATTACAAATCCGATGGTCATAGATTATACGCAGCATTCAGGCTTATTATTTGCTTCCTTGGGTTTCAATACTCATAATCATACTAAGTTTTCGACTTCATAATTAATACACAAATTTTATTTCATTCCACCGGATGTTTCTGACACGACAACAGGTGTGAGCAGCACCTTTATGGACGCAGCTTCAACGTGTACTATATTTGAATATGTAGGTAAATTGGCATAAATAAATAATACTGATGTCGAAAGCCCAGTTAACTATGTTCATCAACCATTCCTGCTGACATAGTGGCCAATTTGGCCATATCATTGCAGCTTTCGAAAGGCTTTTAACTTTTAACAGTGGATTTCCTGAATCCTGAAAAGAGTTGATGCTCCAATCTTTTTTCGATTATTTCATGCACAAAAACACATGTGCACCTTCATACGTATGCTTTCGTACTCGCTCTGCTAACTGAGCAGTTAGCATTGGCAACGCTCTGGCTGCAGTGTGGCAAATATTATGAGAATTTATTTGTTGAATAAATTCTCTTGTAGGGAGACTATCATCATCATTGATGTGTATTTACCGAATCCAAAATCTGTATTTGCATATATGTATGTACATACATACATATATCAGCATAAGTATGTACATGTACACAGTAAATCTCAAGTCTCTGGTCCAAGAAATGGAATGAGTTTTCGAAAAAATATAAACTCGTACTGTATGTACATATGTACATATGTATATATTTTCGGAGTCTGCTACGTTTCACGTAAATTCTAGCGGCTTGAAACAAATTAAGTTGAGAGCTTTGGTATATATGTATATGTTGTATATGTTCATATTGATAAAGTTACATATATGTTTCATCTTATACATGTTTATATTAAACAAGTCTAAGAATTTTTTTATTTGGATTTGAATTCGATTTGTGTTGGCGGTGTTTTATCAGTTTATCGAGTACTAATATTCACCTGGCATTGCCGTCAGTATTCTTAAAATTTTTGGATTGTATGCTTAAAATCTAGCAATATCTGCAACAATACATAGCTTTATCTGCCAAAATACTTACTATTATCTAAAATGTTATATAATTAATTATTTACGATTAATAAAGTATTTAAAACCCATTATTTATATCGATACCTAATGTGTTAAATATGTAAGTATCGTATCGAATAATGTTTGTTATCGATAGCCTGACAGCTTTATTATGAAAGTATACACTTTTTTCCACAATATGTATATATGTACATATGTGTTCGTGATTGAAAGAGTATTTTTGAGAGTTTTTGTTATTGCTTAACAAATTGTGCGGATTTTTAACCGAAATGTAATTCAGAACTAAGTGCATCAAACAGTGTAATTCATAATGTGATAAAGCATTGGATCGGCAAGCTGTATCATCGTTCAAATAGAACAGCACTCTTCCTTCGCCATTCGACTCCCTATGAAAAAAAGCACCATTTTGAAATTGCCATATATACAAATAATTGGTCAAAGGATTACTCATTGATAGAATGTTGCGGCAAATCCTTCGTCTGCTGGGCGCCATATTTATGTTGAATGTATGCCTTATTAACTTACAAATGCGTTGGGCTGTGCATTGCATCAAAGTTGAGCATGGACACACGCAAACACATTCATATATAGATTTAAGCAATGCTGAATCGGCGTCATCAGCGCCATTCTCTTCAGCGGACATTGTCGCTCAGTTTGTTTTGCCACCCATTAATAATGGAGGTGTGGCTAGCGGTCAATTCGATGGTGGTAGCTCCACGTCCACATCGACGGAGGCTAACTACGGTAATCACACAAATACTGCTAATAGTTTCAATATGGGCAGTTTTAGTGGTCAATCGAAAAACTATTTCACTCACCTTACCTTCGATTACGCTCATGACGTCTTTTATGCGGGTGCCACAAACAAAATATTGAAGTTAAATGAAAATCTACGAGTTCTCTCGGAGGCTGTCACCGGACCCAAGCTCGATGCACCGCAGTGTCATGCCGGGGGATGTCCGGAGGATGTGGAGACGTCGCTGGTTAATAACTATAATAAAATATTGGTAGTTAGTTACGCCCACAACGACGGAATCCTCATCTCATGTGGTAGTATACGGCAAGGTATGACAAAGAAAAATATAAACAAATTTCCTCTAGTTAATAATTTATTTTATTTATATATATTATATATCTAAATAAATATATAAAAAATAATATACGATTTGAAGCGATGTTTCAACATAAACGTTCAACTTTCCTATTTCTTATTTGTGTATTCAATAGCATTGCATTCAAGTATTCATATTTATTTAAATATACATATTATAAGCATAAACCTTATTTATTGCATTGTAATTAATGTAATAAATAATTATTATAATTTTAGGAACCAAATTAAAAAATAAAAATAATAAATAAATGAAATAAACTAAACAAGTAAGAAAGCTCTAGTCGAGACTGTCCGCCTTAGAGATCCCCTAAACCCTACGAGCAAATGATATTTTAATTCTTCGCGTCTTTCTGCTTACACCTGAAAACACAAATGAATTTATTGCTGATTTTAAATATTTTTGATTGATAACAAAATAACGGGGCAACTTATCGATTTTAGGGAAACAAATTTCAACGACGCGTTTAAGCATACGGACATACAGACGGACGGACGGACAGGGCTAAATCGACTCAGCTCGTCGCCCTGATCAAGAATATACAGCTGTGAAAAATAAAACAGCACCATTTGCAAATGCAAAACTTAAGATCTGCTCGATACATTTATCAGTGTATTCATCTACTTAATTTTTTATATAAGCAGAAAGCAATAAATTTTTGCAACAAATAACAATTATCATAAAAATATTCAACGTTTCAAAATATTCTCAAAAAGAATACTTTGTATACTTGTGGGGTCTGCCACGCCTCTTACTGCCTGTTACATAATTTTAACAAAACCATTATGCCCTGATTTCCCATTGAAAATGGGTTCAGGTTATAAAAAGAATGATTGGTTTTTCGAAATGCTTACCCTGATCGGGCTTTTTTTATTTTGACATATAACTAAGTCAAGATCAAATTCAGAGGCTTCGATCATCAGAGCTAAGATGATCAAGTTTAACATATCGTAAATGGATAAGCATTACATCTTGTGAAATTCATTTATTAAATATTTTATGGTATTCCTTATTCGAGCACTGTCGAATAGAACAAAATTACTTGGCAATCTAAGCATTAGATTCGTAGTTTTATTTATATTAAGTATGTTTTGACGTTTTTTCTTCGTAGGTGCATGTGAAATTTACAATCTCTTGCGATTTCCATCTGCTCCTCAATTTGTGGCAGTGCCACTGGCTGCTAATGATGAATATGCATCGACTTATGCATTTGTTGGCCCGTCGCGCTATTCATGGAAAGAGGAGGATATACTATATGTGGGGACGACATTCACTAACGTCGGCGACTATCGGCATGATGTGCCAGCGATATCATCTCGACGCTTGGACGACCTAAATTACGCTGAATTTTCCATACAACAGTCAATTATTAACATAGATGTGAAATATCGTGATCACTTTCTGGTTAACTACGTTTACGGATTTAATTCGTCAGAGTATGCGTACTTTGTGCTTGTTCAAAAGAAGTCACATCTGGCTGAAGAGGCAGGTTATGTAACGCGTTTGGCACGCATCTGCATTACAGATCCGAACTATGACAGCTACACTGAGATAACCATTCAGTGCACTGCTACGGATGAGCAAATCGATTATAATATATTGCGGGATGCGAAGATAACGCATGCCAGCCAAAAGTTGGCCCATCAAATGGGCATTAAGCGAGATGATCATGTGCTGGTGACTGTGTTCTCGCCATCAAAAGAGATAAGCGATCAGCCAGAAAACAAGTCAGCTATGTGCATTTATAGCTTAAAGGACATTGAGGATGTGTTTATTGAGAATATACACATGTGCTTCAATGGAACCAATAAGGATCGGAATCTAGGCTATATATCTGGCACGATCAATGATGGTAAATGCCCAAATGCAGGCTCTTTGGGCAACATTTACAATTTCTGCAGTGTTGGACTTAAAATTAGCGGCGTTGCACCAATAACGGCACATGCGTTATTCCATTTTGATAATGTTTCGGTTACCTCGGTGACAGCAACAACTACAACTGATCAACAGCATTCACTTGCGTTTCTAGGCACTGAAACCGGCACTATTAAAAAAGTATTATTATCTGGTCAGAAGCCCGGGGAGTATGAGGAAATTGTAGTAGATGCTGGCAATCGTATACTACCCAATACAATGATGTCACCCAAAAAGGATTTTCTTTACGTGCTGTCATTGCGTAAAATAACAAAACTGCGTATTGAACATTGTTCCGTATATTCAAATTGTTCAACTTGTCTGGAGTCGAGGGATCCATTCTGTGGCTGGTGTTCCTTGGAAAAGCGCTGCACAGTGCGTTCCACATGTCAACGGGATACATCGGCTTCGCGCTGGCTCTCACTGGGTAGTGGTCAACAATGCATTGATTTCGAATCAATAGTGCCAGACAAAATTCCCATTACCGAATTAACGCGGGTGCAGCTAGTAATACGTACATTGCCGGAACCATTTAATGCCAAATATCGTTGTGTATTTGGTAATTCGACGCCAATTGATGCCGAGATACTGGAGCATGGTTTGGCCTGTGATACGCCTCCAATTGATCAAAGACCAATCATTGCTGCTAATATGGATCATGTTCTGGTACCGCTGTCCGTGCGTAGCTCCGAGACTAATAAGGATTTCGTGTCGCGCTCTTTTGCATTTTTTGATTGCTCCCATCATAGCAATTGTCAGTCATGTGTTCGAAGCTCGTGGGGCTGCAATTGGTGCATTTTTGATAACAAGTGTGTCCACAAATCGGAACAGTGTCGTAACATGGAAAATGCAATCGGTGGAGAGAGTCAGTGTCCGCACTTGAAGCGAAATCGTCAACCAATTTTGCTGCCAGTGCGTGTGCCAAAAGAGATAAGATTAGAGATTGAGAATTTGCCAAAGCCAAAAAGTGCGCATGCTGGATATTTGTGTACGATACAAATTGAGGCAGCTCAAATGCTCTTACCGGCTCACATTGAGTCCAACAAGATTGTTGTGTGCGAAAAGACGCCGTACTTTTATGAGACGAATACACACGAATACGAAGCCAAGGTTGAGATAACATGGAATCGGCAGCATTATGTAGACACCGCCACGGTCATACTGTACAAGTGTGACGTGCTTGGTTCCCATCGAGAGCACGCTGACTGCAGTTTGTGTGTCACACGTGACCCGAAATACCAATGCGCCTGGTGTGGGAACTCTTGTGTATACAATGAAACTTGTGGATCATTAACAACAAAAATGCACGGTCATGGTCATGGCTATGATGTGGGCTCTGTTTCAAATAATGTTCTCCTTCAAAATGAATGTCCGCGACCACGAATTGATATCATAAAACCATTGTCAGGTCCTGTGGAAGGCGGAACTTTGATTACAATCGAGGGAAGCAATTTAGGTATTCGCGAAGAAGATGTAAGAGGAAAAATATCAATTGGAACAGTACCATGTATCTTGGTGAATTATCAAATCTCTGTTAAAATTGAGTGCCGTACAGGAGCAGCATTGCGTGAGATGTCGGCACCTATTAAGGTCGCAAATGATGCTGGTTTTACGGAGTCAAGTGTTCAATTTCATTTTAAAAATGTTCAGTTAACCGGTTTATATCCCACTGTTGGACCCAAATCGGGTGGTACAAAATTGTCCCTGTTAGGAAGATATTTAAATATTGGCTCAAGCATTCGGGCATTTCTCGATGAATACGAATGTCATATAAATGTAACGCAAGCCTCATCATCTCGCTTATCGTGCATAACATCGGAGGCAACGCAACCGGAGCCCATTCGCTCTTTACGCTTGGTTGTCGATGGAGCCAATAGAACATTTACTTGTAAAAATTCAGATTCGGGAGAGCAACAGCAGCTGATAAGTACATCTCGTAGCTATTATGGTACATATCATTACAATATGCCGCCTCCGCCGTGCTCTATATTCAACTATACACAGGATCCGCGCATAATGCAGATTAAGCCACTACGCAGCTTTGCTAGTGGAGGTCGTATCTTAACCGTACATGGCATGTATTTGGACTCAGTACAAAATCCTGAGCTCGAGGCTTTTCTGGATAATGAGCGTGTAAACAAAACATCTTGCACTGTCATCAATTCCAGCCAAATGGAGTGCCCATCTCCTCCAGTCAATGAAAAATTTCAATTATTGAAAAACGCTATTGGAATGAAATCCGATCAGAGCTTCGAACGGAAACGAAAGCGCAATGCACTATTTAATGGTAGTTTAAATATGTACGCAACAGGGTCAACAGTGTCTAGCTACTTTGCTAGTAATAGTATGGATGTAGCGGCCTTTGTTAAAGTACATGAGACTCAATTAAATTTGCAGCTTAGTTTTATCATGGACAATGTGCAGTTGGTGCGAGATTTGAATAAATATTTTCATGAAATTCGCAGCACAATTGTATACCTGAGCGATCCGAAATATTTGCCATTCCCAAATGATGGCATCAAACTCTATAAAGGTGACAGCCTGGTCATCGAGGGTGAAATGCTTAATTTGGCGGCTGATGAGTATGATGTAAATGTAACGATCGGCACTGTTCAGTGCAATATAACGAGCCTTGCTCTTACACAATTATTGTGCATACCGCCCGAGCAGCAACCCGCCTCGACTGATGAAAATGGTATTGATCAGTCAGCGGATCTGCCGCTGGTTGTTGTTAAAGTTGGTCGTAATTTGCGCTTTGTTATTGGCTATCTAAAATATGATTTGAACAAACCGTATTCGTTATCACATGCCGTACTTGGTATCATATTGACGGTAGCTGCATTGATCATTATCCTTGTAATTGTTTTAATAATATTTCGGCGAAAGTCGACGCAAGCAGAACGTGAATATAAACGTATACAAATTCAAATGATCACTTTGGAGAGTAATGTGCGGTCTGAATGCAAACAGGCATTTGCCGAACTACAAACTGATATGACAGACCTAACTGCGGACCTTGAAAGCAGTGGCATACCAACGCTCGATCATATCAACTATATTATGAAAGTATTCTTTCCAGGCGTATCAGATCACCCAATATTAAATTCCGCAAAAATTCGCGGGAATAGCCATCATACAAATTACGATACAGCTATGATGCAATTCGAGCAGTTGATAAGCAACAAATACTTCCTTTTAACATTCATTGAAACTTTAGAGATGCAACGATCATCATTTTCAATTCGGGATCGTGTAAATGTTGCCTCACTTCTAATGATCGTTCTTATGAACAAAATGGAGTATGCCACGGAAATTTTGAAATCGCTTTTGTTGCGTCTTATCGACAAATCATTGGCAAGCAAGCATCCGCAGTTGATGCTGCGCCGCACGGAGAGTGTCGTAGAGAAGATGTTAACAAACTATCTAGCAATTTGCATGTACGACTATTTGAAAGAATATGCCGGCTCAAGTTTATTCTTGTTGTTCAAGGCAATTAAGCATCAAGTAGAGAAAGGTCTGGTCGATGCTATAACGCACGATGCACGATATTCGCTGTCGGAGGAACGTTTACTGCATGAACAGGTCACACATTCTGTCGTTATATTGCATATTCTACAGGACGATCTGGACGAGAAGGTTCAGTGTCGCGTCAATGACTGGGATACAATATCCCAAGTCAAGTTAAAAATTCTTGATGCCATCTTCAAAAATACACCATTCTCAATGCGGCCGTCAGTGCACGAAGTGGACCTTGAGTGGCGTCACGGTCGTGGTGGTCATTTAACACTCCAGGATGAGGACCTTACCACAAAGACTATTAACGGCTGGAAGCGCTTGAATACATTATTCCATTACGGGGTTAAAGAGTCCGCCGTTATGTCTCTTATTGCCAGACAGAATGATAGCTACAATATGCCTTATAGTAAACAGCAGGCTCCCTATCACAATTGTAAGTTTTTGTAATCTATTGAATTTATCTTACCCATTATTATCTTATTAAATTGCAATTATTATTGTTTTTTCAGTTTATTATATTAATAATTCGCAGAGTCATATAATAATCAACAACGATATTGAATCGGGTCTCCAGCAACCGAGGCTTTATCACCTAGTAAAGCCAATAATACCCGATCACTATATGAATATAAAAAATTCGGCAATATCTGGAGTCTTGCCACCAGCGCAGGGTGGTGCTCATTGCATTGGAAATGGGAGCGAGCGAGTTAACAAAACTATACCAGAAGTGTATTTAACCCGATTGCTAGCCACGAAGGGTACTATACAGAAATTTGTAGACGATTTCTTCTCGATTATATTGACTGTAAATGAAGAGCTGCCACCGGCAGTTAAGTGGCTATTTGATCTGCTCGATGAGGCGGCTAGACGTCATGATATTGCTGACACTGATATTATACACGCATGGAAATCGAATAGTTTGCCACTGAGATTTTGGGTTAACTTTATTAAGAATCCAGATTTTATATTTGATGTAAACAAAACGTACTCTGTTGACTCCTGCCTGAGTGTCATCGCACAGACTTTTATGGACGCATGTTCAACAACGGAACACAGATTAGGCAAAGATTCACCATCCAACAAACTTTTATTTGCAAAGGTAATTACGCTGAGTGAATACAAATTTGCCTCAAAAGATTACAGCTAAAATATGTGATTATATTAAAACAGTAAATTTCCAATTAATTTTTTTAATTATAAATAGGATATTCCAAATTATAGAAGAATGGTTAAGGATTTCTATAGAGACGTGGCAAGGCTTCCTCAAATTAGCGATCAAGAAATGAGCACAGCAATGCAGCAATTGTCAGTTCAGCAGAATGCAGAATTTGACACCATTTCTGCTTTAAAAGAACTGTATATTTATATAACTAAGTACAGAGAGCAGGTATGTGAAAGGATTTATTTAATGTCATAAGAAATGTATGATTTTAGAGATTCATCGTAGATAATGGATGCTCTGGACTCCGATCCCAATTGTAAAAAAATGCATTTGTCCAGTAAACTCGAAAGTGTGGCCTGTACACTAGATGGCGAGGATACATCAAACTGCTGACAAGAATGTGAATTTTATTATGTGATTTATGACGTTGCTAACCTGATCTTTATCATTTCGAGTATCCCAATTTCAATTTAAATGAACAATGAATTGGGTCATTGAAAACCTACATACCACATAAACATATTCTTTCAAGTGCCAACTAGAGCAGCAAACTATGTCACATAATATAATTCGAATGTACTTTTAAGTTATTTACATACATATATATACATACATTTGATATGCTTGATAACTCAACGATAACAAAAAAGACAAACAAAATTCTCAAAACTTATAGTATATTATTTTACAATATTTTAATTTAATTCCTTAATTTAAATCGCAAAAAAAATCTGATTAATACCGTTTTATGGTCTATAGGTTGCATTAACAGATTGATAACAGATATAATGCAGATTGGTAACTTAGCATTACGAGAACATACTAAGTTAAATAAGAAAAAGCATGTATGTAGATATCAAATAAATGTATCTCTTTAAGATATATTCAGGACTCTCATGTAGTTATTATTAGGTTAATTAGTATATTACGATCTAACACGTACATCTAAAAATTTAATTACACTCATCGTATTGATGATTTTGATTCGTATTAATTATAACATATAATAATATGCATTACATCGACAAATGACATGACTGAATTGTAAAAAAAAAACTTTAATTGAAAGTCTGCAAAATTTATTACGACAAAAATTAATTCTACTCTAACTATATTTTATAGTACATTAATGCTAGGGTCCATTTGTATATGTAGGATCCATATGTGTTAACAAGTAATATATATAACTTAATTGGAATTACAGTTACCGTTTTCTTCAAGGGCTTAAAATTCCAACTATATTTTTACTAAAAGTTAAGAATTTGACAAAACATCCTTTTTTGTCACACGAATAATTCTTATTCTTACATAACTGCCCATCATGGAACTTAATTTTAGGATATTCTTACTTTAATGTATTTTGCTAATGAGATGCCCTTTCATTCGGTTCAATAAAGAACCTAGTACTTTAGAACATGTGATATATATCGTATTAAGTTTGATAAGCAAAGATATAAAATGAATTTTCTTAAATGTCTACTTCTAATGCCTATCCATCAACTTGTAGTCAAATTCAACATATAACTTCTAGGATATTAATATAATTTTGAAAATTGGATGCTTATATTATATGATATGGGTTCTATTAAATGTATAGAAACTATGTTGAGCTATTCAATATATTATATATGTATGTCTATTTCTAGATTACACATAATTTTGTCTTTAGAAATATCTACTTTTACTTCAACCATCGCAATTTAAAGTAGAAGCTTCCGCGAAATACGCAATTTAACATTTACTATTATGCATAATTACTTGAATTGAATATTAAGCTCACATTATATTTCGATTTTATATATTTTAATTTATGCGTATTTTATTATTTATTTAGATTTCATTTCATGTGTTTTGTAACTTTACTTGGCTACTGTATATATAAGGAAATACATGAATACAAATACATAAATGATAAGTTATATATAGATGAAATAGTACATACATTATGTATATACCTACATTATGATCATTAATTTGTAAGGAAATGTAATTATGAAAGAATGTATTACCACATTAATTTGAATAAAGTTCATTAGGTTATTCAAGATGACCATATAATGTAACATTGTAAGATCGAATCATATTTTAGCTAAATATTCATTTGAGATATTTTCAGAAGAAATTAATCCTAATCGCCTTTTTGGCTTAATAAATTTGAAAAAGTTTCCTGATTAAGTGTTTAAAAATTCATTTAAAAGACAGCTGTATAATTTTTGGGTACATTTCAACAACACTTTCTGTATGTGTCAACGATGTTATAAAAGTAAAGGCTTATCAAGCTAAGTGTTCTGTTTAAGTCATTCATGAAGTCATAATTCCTTCCGCACCTTAAAACAACGTTCTAGTGAACACAGAATTGTGTGTTTAGTGATTACAATAAGTGAGGATAGTAAACTGGAGTGGGACTTGAGCCTGTGTAAATAATACTAAATGTTAGCTTGCTTTTTTTTTAGTCGTTTGGTGATAATGATATGCGTGTTTAGTGGATGTGTCCGGCATAGAATCTATTGTTTTTTAGTTTTAAGTCTTTCATGATATAATGATTATTGAATAGATTGATTTGTCTTTTTCGTAATATTTTAATTATTTATTGAAGTCTTTTTATGAGATATGGAGTAGTAATTTCCTTAAATGGAGCACAGTCATCTCCATATAGAGGTGGAGTTAAGTAATTAGTTTCATTTTAATGCACCGTTTTTCCTGAATTCAATCAAATTCATTTGAAATGGTTTTTAAGCGGTCGCATCCTGGCGTGACTATCGTCTATTGGGACAGTAGTAAAACCCTTGTGACAAACGCTCAAAAGTCATGACGTAGGTAATGGTGATAAAAAATATAATAATACAGTAGAATCTCGTTTTAACGACACCGCATATAGTGTCCGTACGGTTATTGCGATAAAAATTCTGCTCCCCAGACAAATATTAGCAAACTTATGTATGTATATGTCTATAGAGCAGGGCTGCCATCCGTCCTGGAACTTCGGGACATGTACTACTTTTGGAGGTAATATCCAGGCTTTCTACTGTTTCAATAAAACAATCGCCATTTTGGCAAAATGCAACTCCAAAGAGATTTTTGGCTTTAAGTTTTCGATCGATTTTAAAATCGTTGAAGGAACCGGCAAGGAAAAGACTTGGCACTCTTCACTAGGCGAATACCGGATTATTAAATGGCTCGTCGACCGTCCCCGAAAAGGCCCATGTGTTCACCCTATTCGACTGATTCGACTGTACATTATGCAGCCTGCCACGCTTTCTTTTACACACATATGTATGTATTTATGTACATAAATTTTCAATTACAGCGGTTTCTGTGCATTTCACTATGAGAGAGAAGAAATAATTATTTATGTATATCTGATCAATTTATTCAAATCTCTAGCTCTTAGCACTAACTGTTAAGTTGCAGAAATCATAACAATTTTTGTATACATGAATATATGTATTTTTACATGTGTGTACAGGCAATTCAGTGCTGTATAATAAGTTGTATTTTTATACCCTGAACCCATTTTCAATGGGAAATCAGGGTATAATGGTTTTCTTGAAATGTATGTAACAGACAGAAGGAGGCGTGGCAGACCCCACAAAGTATATATATTCTTGATCAGGGTGACGAGCTGAGTCGATTTGGCCATGTCCGTCTGTCTGTCCGTACGTCCGTATATATGAACGCGTCGATTTCAGAAGATATAAGAGCTAGAGACTTAAATTTTTTTTAAATGTCCGTATTTACAGCGCGGATATCGAATTTATCATTAAAAATCGATAACTCATCCCAAACTTTTTTTTATCGATAAAAACCCTTATCGAAATTCAGTTATAAAATTATATCTTCTACATCTTTAGAGCTACAGTCTCCAAGCATGTATGTATATTGATATGCATTTTTTACAATTTCGGTTTTCGTTGAAATTTACCCCCCACCCGTATATCAACCCCTTCACCCACATATCCGTAAAAGGCAAATACATGCATACATGTTATAATCATAATCTGAAAGTTTCATGAAGATCGTATGTCCACAAAAAAAGTTATTAAACAATTAAGTTCTCATGGTACACTGGTACAGCTTGTGTGTGTGTGTAAATGTTTGTGTATGTGTCTGTGTATGTTTGTGTGTGTGTGTGCGTGTTTCTTGTGTAAGCAGAAAGTCGCGAAAAATTATTGAAATAGCTATTGCTCGAAGGGTTCAGGGGATCTCGTAGTCGAGCACACTCGACTGGAGCTTTCTTACTTGTTTTGTTGGTGAAATTGTTTGTTTACTTTAAGATGCTCATACTCCTTAGTAGAAGCTGTGAGTCATCTTACATATAGACACAAAACACACATACATACATATGTATGTATGTCATACATGTAATGTGTATTTACACAGCCAGAGTTTTTGTAAGGCACACATATGTATGTAAATATGTACATATGTGTACGTACATATGTACATACATACATATGTATGTTCCTGTGCAACTAATTATCTCTCACAAAGAATGTTTACGCTCCTCTCTACTTGAACAAATGAGTCGCTTTTTATCAATGGAGTACTGCAGCTGCTTTCATTATCACAAAGCGCTTGAACTAGTGACAAAAAAAAGAAATATAAATATGTGAGCGCATGCATACATATGTATGTATGTAATTACTTAGTAATGTATACGTATATATTCTTATGTATGTATGTATATAAATCTATGTATTGACAAACATCTACATACATATGTGTATTTGTACATATTCTTTCAGAAATTGGGGCGTGAATTTCTTTCTCTGCCTTTTATTTATTCATATTTTATGGGGTTGATCGTCCTCTACCATTACATCAGTAGATCACGATTACCTCACGTAGTTAAATAAAATTCCAAAATCATTGAATTTTGAATAAGATTTAGCTAAGGGCAATAAATTCCGACTAGTACTTTTTCATTTCATTGTATGTAATTTGATTCATACATGCATACATATGTATATATGTATGAAAATACCTACAAACTTTGATTAATGTCGTGCACGAGTAAGAAAATACTAGCACACGCACAGATATGTATAAATATACATATGTATGTATGCATGTACATACATATGTATTTATTTGTTGGTGCGTGGAGGCAATGTTATCCCAACATTCATATTGAGATGTCTAAATTGAAAATGATATGGAAACTGTGAAATGTTTTTAATTCTTATTATTTTTATTTATTTTTGTTCATTAATCAAGAATATATACACAAAAGTCAAATAAATTTTGTAATACAAAAATTGGTAAAATACTAACAGTGCTTCTAATCATATGACGCGCACTGTTCATATATTGGCTAAGTGGGAGTGCGTGTATGTATGTGGGTATAAGCAAGAGATTGTTTATATTCTGGTGGCTGTTGAGTAAGCATTTACTTCGTGGGATTTTAGTCGCATATGAAGTGCTAAACGAACAGGTTTTCGTCTCTGCTTGCTGTACATTAATGGATACGACTCGATTGCTGATCGCGAACGCCAAATAATCATAATAATAAACCAAATAAAATAGACTCAGAAATTTACTGTGATCTTTACTCTATAATTTATAACTAAAAACTAAGAAATATATTGTGCTGATTCAATTCAATCTCATCACACACACATACATATGTGTGTGTGTAGTAGATGGATAGCTTGCTGGACTGGAAATGAGTATGCAAATATTGTGTGAGAAAATCCCCTATAGGATTGAGATATCGAAATACTGAAAGATCGAAATCGATGAATAACACCCTTTGATAAGCCACATAATTTCTGTGTCATCCCGTGATCTATAAAGGCCATGTGGTATAAAAATGAAAATTCGTATCGAATCTGAATACTTTGTAGCTACATTCCAAAGTATTTTCAACTGGATTGATTTTCAAACTGCAACAAAAAGGACCAACAGACCAGAAAGCAGATTTTTCAAATACATTGCCAACGAAAAAAACTCACGATGCAGTTTTACACCAAACATTTCTTATGTAAAATACATCTGTAGTGCATTACACTTTTACAATATTTGTCATTGCTATTACAATGATGTTGAGCGGTTTCGAAAGGAGTCGAACGGATCCATATACCGCCGGATCTTCTCCATTATTCCGAAATTAACGCAGTTATGTTTCGTGCTTATTTTGTTGTTACCATTCTGCTCTTCATTGATACATGAAGCCAGTGGAAAGGATGTTAAGGCGATCCCAAATATATCATTAAGCCCGAAGAAGTTGTGGCTCAGCTCGACACAATGGTCAAAAACAAATAACTTATGCCAAAAAAAATGGAATTTCAAACTAATGCTTAGGAACTACACAAATAGTAAATATAATTACATTGATAACGATAATCAAAATAATAGCCATAGCCATAACCCTAGCCATACCATAATCAAAGGTACATATCCATGTAATCAAAGTTTAAATGAACATAGTCTGATAATTCTAAGTAATGGTAATGAAGAAAACAAAACACAAACCATATTACACGGCCAAAAGCAAAGTTCCGGTTCTAAAAGCAAACGCATCAAAAGATCACAAATCTTGTATCCACGAAAAAAAAAAAGCAAACATGAAGTAATAGGAGTCGAGTACGATAAACATAAAAGATTTCAGAATATACATAGGATTGTAAATAAACAGAAGCTAACGGAATTAGTAATGAACGGCCTCGGATTAAAGAAGTTGCCCGATATGAGAAAGGTAAAATCTCTTCTCTTCTCTTCTCTTCTCTTCTCTTCTCTTCTCTTCTCTTCTCTTCTCTTCTCTTCTCTTCTCTTCTCTTCTCTTCTCTTCTCTTCTCTTCTCTTCTCTTCTCTTCTCTTCTCTTCTCTTCTCTTCTCTTCTCTTCTCTTCTCTTCTCTTCTCTTCTCTTCTCTTCTCTTCTCTTCTCTTCTCTTCTCTTCTCTTCTCTTCTCTTCTCTTCTCTTCTCTTCTCTTCTCTTCTCTTCTCTTCTCTTCTCTTCTCTTCTCTTCTCTTCTCTTCTCTTCTCTTCTCTTCTCTTCTCTTCTCTTCTCTTCTCTTCTCTTCTCTTCTCTTCTCTTCTCTTCTCTTCTCTTCTCTTCTCT